AGATTTCTCATCTGCACTTTTTTCCAATTCTTTCTTTTTTCTTTCGAACTCCAACTGTAGGTCTTTAAGCTCTTGGACGACCAAGTTGGCTTGATCTTGTCTCTTCTTAAGAGGAACAAGGATGTCTTCATGCATCTTTGTAATCGTTTCACAAAGCTGTTTGCAGGCAGTAGTCTCTTCAAGTATGTCTTCAAGTTTATCACACCATTCCTCATAATCTAACGTTTCATAGTATTCAAAAAACTCGCTTATGGACGCCACAAACTCGACACAAATTGGAAGAACAACTTTGAGGTATACCATGGCGTCGTTTCTGGTATCATCTCGTAGCTTTCTAAATTTTACAGCGGCTTCAGCATTAGTTCCTACAGCTCCTTCTGCAAAAAGTGATTTCAAGCAAAGAGAAAAGATAGCCATGTCTCTAGGCATGTCTTCTATTTCGTTTGTCAATCGTTCCACCTGCATTTGTGTATCGTTTGGCTCACTTGCCATCTATAATGTAAGCAACGAAAACGAAGTTAAATGATAATGATCGCTTTGATGTTACTCGCAGAAAACTTCAAAATGGAAAAGGATTTAATAAAGGGACTGTTGCGACAGGACGCAATCTAATTGGGATTGTTATGCACGCATTAGATATTTACTGCCAATAAATAAAGCATTCCTTACTACGTTTGAAGTTCTGTATAATTTTGGTCAGAAAAATTACTTGCTTTTGTCTGCGATTGATGTTGTCTCTTTCCTCTTGGTTTCGTGGCCAAGCCCAAAGTCCCCAGAGATGCGTCTTCGTGCCTTGAGATGCGCAACGATGAGGAGGGGGGTTCATGAATGACGTGGCAATATATCATTGACCAATGAACAGTGGCCACCTGAATCCTTCAACATTGATTGGCAGAAGTAAACAGCTGAACATTTCTAGGAAAACGACATTGTTGTCAAGGAAAGAATGGTTAATTCCATCATGAATTAGATTATAGATGGAATACTGATTAAAAACACTGGCGTTAAAGGAATTCCACATTCTTAGAGAGTAACGATAACGTTATTTTTATAGACCACGATAATATTCATACCTATTTACCTACTCATGATATTCGAGTATGACCTATAGAAAGTCTGTGGATTATCGTTGGCGTCTGTCTCGAAACTATAGACACCTTTGAAGTGAATATTGACGACGATGGTATTTTTATTATGAATACGAGGATCTGGACACATAAGAGTAAAACTAGCGGTTTGTGCTAGAAAGTGAAGTATTGCGAGCACCAGAAACTATTCCCAACCATTTCTTTCTAGCATTATAGAGTAATAAATGGCATGAAGACTACATGTGATTCTATCTTAGGAATAAGGATGCTAGATTGTTATGATCCGTGAGCAGTTATGGATGATAAGAATGGGACAAAAGCTATTCAGTGAATACATATTTTATTCAAAAAAACAAAAAAACTGGAACATGTGGTATATGGTTATGATTAATCATAACAACATTAACATTCAGTATGACTACTGCATAATGGTATCTCTATCTATGTCCAATGTTACAACTGAATATTCTTACAGTGCGATTATTCCAACCAAAGCCACCTCGACAAATTTTCTACAAATTAGCCTTATTTCTTACTGGTGGGGGGAGGGGGGGGGATCCTTAAAACGGGCTAAATTCAAAAAATAACCACACAGAGCGAAAGAAGTGTCATTTCATGATGATCACGTTACATTTCAGGGTGTTATTTCACTTTTCAATGTTTTTATTGAATATTTTGAAGAATCCCCATACACCAAGCTTGGGCTACCTGTGATTAACTCAGTGTGGACACCTTTTACTTCCGCTTCATATTTTTTGAAGTAAATGTTGACGACGGTGGGGTTTTATTAGAAATATGAGGAACAGAACACTGAGGTGAAATAGACTCCTGGCTTTTAAAGAGTAACTCATAATGAGTGGAATTCAAGGTGACATTCTTCTTGCAATTATACATTCTCATATGTTATCTAGTACCATGAATAACCGTTATTTTGAAATAAAGGACGCGTTAAATGAAGATGAATCCATCAATCAGTTCTGGGGAAAGATCTTTATTCATTCCAGACAAACCTTTATTCAAAAACAGATTTGAAACATCAAG